TCGCCTTTGTCCCGGCGCCCTCCCCCGGCCTTCGGGGGAGGGGACGGGCGCGCATCCGCAGGCCAGTCACTGACTGACCGGTCGATTCATTCCCGCACTCGCTCAGCTCAGGAGCCACGGTCCAGCGCCAGATCTGAGGGCCGGGCTCCCGGGTTCAAATTCGGACTCTGCCGCTATCTATTCCGTGGCCTTGGGCCAGTTGCTTAACCTCTCCGGGCTCAGTTCCTTCATCTGTAAAATGGGCCTAGTACGACTGCCTGCCAACCAGGGCTGTCCTCCCCATGTGAAGATGCATGTGAAGCCGTTGGCAATGTCTGGCCACGGTGTAAGATGTTGGCAGTTTTAAACCCAGACCCAAGCCTTGGGAATTCAGGGAGTAGCGAGAGGCCAGAAACTTCTTTTCCTAAGTGTACACTCTGAGAGATGGGGAGAGAGGGAGATAAAAATCGCAACAAATGCAAGTACAATATAATTGCAATAATAGTAGCATAATAAGGTGGTGGATAGAAGCTTGGGGCAGATGCGAGCTTGGAAGAGAGGCCATTGATTCCCAAATGTGGAGCACTTCCTCCATGCCAGGGGCAGTGCCTTCTGCTTTTCTGAAATGTTCCTTTTGAATGCTCAAGACAACTCTGGGAGGAAAAGGTGTTTGGCCTATACTCCAGAGGGGGTGACTGAGAGCAGCATCCAGACTCACAGAATTGGTGGAAAGAACCCATCACTCTCTGGCTCTAGGCATATTTCACAAACTAAGGTGGGTGGGGCTGTTTCACATTTCTTCATCCAGTGCCTCCTAGCCCTGGCTTGGCTCAGTCATTTTCAGGTGGTGGATGAACAAATGTCTGAATGAGTGTACACATCAATGCAGGGATAGGAGACTGGCCAGTGCTGTCACACTAGGAAGCAGGGGCTCTTTCCAACAAACTGCATCACTCCCCTCTAGGCCTGAAAGAACCCAGGGCTCCTTCCCACCCTGGATCCAAGGTCAGCCTTTGAAAGACAGTATGGGTCATCCAGGGGAGGATGCTTCTCGGCAGCCCTGGCCAGGTTCCTGGATAGTTGGGTGCTGATTCTCTTTGGGTCCACCCCCCACTTGCCCCTCCAACTGCCTTGCCAGGTTTTACCACCCTGCTTTGGCCCCAGAGAATGGCCTGCATGGATTTCATGGATGGGCTCCCTGTACTCAGCTTCCTGTTAGGCTTGGCCAATGGGAGGCCCTGGCAGGAGACTGAGGGCAGAAGAAGAGAGAGGTCTAGGTATAATTTTCCTGAGTTTTCTTCCTGCAGGGTTGTGCTTACCAAAGGTGGCCTTCCACATACCTTCTCCCTCGGGGTTCCTGGAACCCCTTTTTTCCACTAAGGGTGTTAAGAGTCCTGCTGTTGCAAGCCCTGGATACTGCACCATCCCCTCTGGGTTCCCCAAGCCCTGCTCACACCCCTGTGAGTGGACTCCTCAGTAGACTTCCCTGTGACCCTGCTTGAGGGAGGCATCTGTTTCATGCCGGGACCCTCACTGATAGCATTTCTGTAAGGCACATTCTTCTGAAGCACAACTGCAAGTCAGCTTACTTGGAAATGCCCAGTATGTGGAAGGCCTGGCTTTTCTGTTCCTTTTACCTCATCCTCTGAATGAGCCAAGCCTTCCTAATAAGGCAGAACCACAGAAGGCAGACGCTAGAGGAAATCTGTGAATCAGCCAGCTTCCTCGGTTTTCCCAGAAAGGCGATGCGACCTGGCCGAGTTGCACACAGAGAGGCCAAGTTGGGTCTTCAGCCCTCCTGGGCTCCCCTGCTCTGCTGTGGCCTGCCTGGCCTGGGAAGACAGACTTTCCTCTCACCTGCCCGTAGCAGAAGATGCAATAATTTGCATCTTTCTATGCCCTTCCTTTTTACTGTAGTAAAACATACATGACCTAAAATTTACCATTTTAACCATTTTAAGTATATAGTTCTGTGGCATTAAGTACTTCACCTTGTTGTGCAGTCATCACCAACATCCGTCTCTAGAACTTTTTTTTGTCTTCCCAAATTGAAACTCTGTACCCTTTAAGCAATAACTCCCATTCTTCTTTCCCCAGCGGCTGGCAACCACCATTTACTAAGTTTGACCTTGGGCAAGTCACTTGACGTCTCTGTACTCTATCTCCAGATGTGTAAGATGGGAAAGGAATAGCCACTGACCTCATTGGCTTGTTCTGGAGTCTAAATGAGATAATACACATAAAGTACATGTATTTTTGTTATTTTGCTATTAGCTGATCAGAGAGAGCTAAAAGTCTCCTTTTAAGTGCATCCAAATCTCAAACAATTTTAATACTAACTCTGCCATGAACTACCTCTACTCTTTCCCAGTCCTGATCCTCTTTTTAGCCCCTGATTTTGTGTCCAGTCTCAGCTCCCACCAGTTGCCTCTGTTCTCCCCACATCCCCCAAATAGAAATGACTTGTGATCTCCAGAAGGAAATATATTCTGTTTTTTCCTATCCGTATATCTTAGGGTAAGCGATTCATTTCCCCACCCTGTCTGCCAGTAACCTCTTATTCAGCCTTCAAAGCCCAGCTTGGATGTCACTTCCTCCAGGAAGCCCTCCATCCCAGATATATAATTGCTTTCCCACCCCTCCTCCAGCTATCACTGTGCCTTGTCATAGCTATTATTACCTTTTTATAGATCTGATTCTTTTGCCAGACTCTGAGCCCCCAAGGAGCGGGAATGTGTCTACTTTGTCTCAAGTCCCCCAGCATCTGGCACAGACTAGCATTGAGAGGCCTCGAGAAAATGCCTGTGGGATGAATGAATCCATCTCCATCTCCTTAACTCTAACCTAAGTTCTCTCCAGGGCTGGGCTTGCTTTTGTCCCTACCCATTCCCCAGAGACCTCTTCACACCAAGCTTCACTGTGTCCACACTCCTGGGAACCCTGGCATTTTCCCTGATCGGGGTGCGAAGAGAACAGGGCAGAGAAAAAGGTAAATTTGCTGCCTTAGCTGATTTTATTCTTCTAAATTTCTGTTCTAGAAGTGCATTTTGCAAGCTTGAGAGCTGCAGACCATAGAAAATCAATGCTGAAGCTGACAGACTGCAGAATTCCATATGGCAGGTTTATTTGGGAAGAGGGCTACACATCCGAGGGGCATCGAGTCCATCAGCCTGAATTAGGCTCTGGTCTTTTTGTGATTTTTGATGTCTGCCTGACTGTCAGGCTGTACTTCTCCCAAATCCCAAATCCCCAGGATGGACAGCCAGGCCCAGGGAGCTGAGGCCCTGCTCCTTTTCTTCCTCTCTTCATCAACTGTCTGAGATGGAATCAGGCGTCTTTCCAGAACAAAGGCAGGGGACTTTGAAAAGAGATTCGTCCCTCTGAGACTGTGGTCTGATTGACTGGCACAGCAAGATGCTCACAATGAACACAGCCGAACCTACAAATGCTCAGCGGCCAGGCACATGTGGTCCTGTGAAATAGATCATGGGCTGGAAGGAGTTGGGCCTTAGAGCAAAGTTCCAGGTGCCCAGGCTGCAGGGCAGAGCTTTGGGGGTGGGGAGGAGCTTAAGTGAAGTTACATTTCAGGGGCTGGAAGAAGGAAAGCACAGCTTCCTTCCATCTTCCCCATCTTTTCCTGGCTGCCATAATTATCTTCCTCCTAAAAGGACGCTCTGTCCATAACCCTCCCCTGCTCAGAAACCCTCATTGGCTCCCACTGCTCATTGATGTTCATGTGCTAGAGATTGGATTCAAGGCCTCCACGACCTGGATCCTTTAGTGCTGCTTTCAGCCCTACCTACTTTGTGTTCATAAACTGTGCCTATATCTGTCTTTCCCCACTTTGTAAAGGGATGTGTGGGTAAAGGGGTGTGTGTGTGTCTGATCACCTCCCAGGTGTTATGTATAGCACCAGACATTCCACATCCATTTCTCTATCTAATTTATCCAAGAAACCCACAGTGTGCGTTATTTTTCCCATTTTCAAGTGAGAAAAAGAAAAAAAGCTCAAAGAAGTTGCCTGGCGTCATAGCACAGAAAAGTGAAGAAGCTGGGATCTGAACTCAGACCTATTGGGTGCCTGACCCCATGTTCTTTCCAGAAGCAAGACCCCACTTGAGGACCGGACTGATGTTTTCTTAATGTTTGTATCCACTTCTCTTCATTAAGTAGATGTCTTTCTGCTACAGATGGAATGTTTGTGTCCCCAAATCCGTGTTGAAATCTAATTCCCAATTTGAGGTTAGTTAGAGGTGCGAATCTCTAGAACATGATTAGGTCATAAGGGTGGAGTTTCATGAATGAGATGAGTGCCCTTATCAAAGAGATTCCAGAGAGCTCCCTCTCCCCTTCTACCATGTGGGGACATAGTGAGAAGGCAGCTGTCTGGGACCTAGGATGTGGGCTCTTACCAGATTCCAAATCAGCACCTTGGTCTTGGAATTCCTAGCTCCCCGAACTGTGAGAAATAATGTTTCTGTTGTTTTTAAGCCAGCCAGTCTATAATATTGTTATTGTAGCCCAAATGGACTGACAGCTCTAAAGCCATTCTCTGTCTCCAGCTGGATGGGTTTTTAGAAAAGGCAAGTTAGATAACACCTATAAAGGCCAAGGCCTCACGATAGTCAAGCCCCGCAGGGTCTGGCTTCTGCTGTCCTCTGGGCCTCATTTCATCCCCTCCCCCTGGCACACTCCCCTCCAGCCAC